AATATAGTCATAATTATAGTGAAAATTTTTACTTGCATCTGGAACATAATTTTTTTATATCAGGCTCTGTGCTTGAAATAGTTATTTGCAATTCCTGATCAAGAATTTTTCATAATCATATCTCCAATTTCTTTTATATTCCAATTTCTTTTCATCAGTGAGAAATTTTGAATGCAAAAGTGAAAAGGTTTTAAATAATCTTTACCACCACTTAAAACTTAGCAATTGAAATTATATTTAAACAATATAGGAGTTCTTGATTTCATTGACAAATTTAATTTTGAACTAATTTCACTTTTTCATTTCAAATGTTTCAAAATAACAAAGAAGCATTAATTTGCAGAAGGTCTTGTGTATTCTTAGAGCAATCACACTGCAACTAATTTAGATACCAATAAAATGATACGCTTGCTAGAAATGGGCAGAAGTATCTGAAATAGGATGACAGAGATTGGGGCATCTGCCTAGAGCAGTGACCATCAGGATTCCCTGCCTGGCTTCCCACCACCACGGACCACAGCACCTTGCCCCTTGGGCACCTGAAACAAACTCCTCCAGCAGCCCCTTGAGCCTCTTGTCCACAATGCACACTGTCCCTCTGCATGTGGCAGCTGTTGCTGGTGACCAGGTGGTGGAGCACCTCTTTGATTGGGCTGTTGAAACAGAGCAGTGAGTGCCTCATTTGGGTGACCATTCTTGCCTCCAGCCAAAGCATGGTATGGGCCATCCATCAGACACATTCCCCTCTTGCCCTCCCGAGAGCATCTATCTAGTCTCTACTCTAGGTTCTATGTGTTAACATGTATTTATATGGGAATTCCATACAAATAAAACAAACTTTTTCCCAATTAAAACTGTGGTTATGAAGCAGATATAGAAGGATAATAAAACCGTATATGACTCTATTCATTATTTCAAGAATTTCATCAATTTATGGATATAGTAATTCTAAATATCTGAAAGCTGTCTTGAAAAATTCTTAGTGTATTTAAAAATTTTACTTCAAATTTTCTAATTATATTAAGTTAACAAAACTCTACATTTAATTTTTAACCATTTAGTTTTATGTGGATTGCATTTTAATTTAAAAAATTAATAATTTTTGGCTGTTGATCAAAAGAATATAAAGTCAACCTGTAAAATGAGCCTGCTGAGTTATAGCACTGAGCCAGACATTTTGATGATTCAGACTGTCAACAGGGAGTGCTGAAGACTTGGATATCACATTCAGACTTCAGGGCATATGTCATACCTGCTACTCATATTTTGCCCAGATACACCAACATATACCAAAAAAGTGTATACAACTGGTAAGCCAAGAATATACATGGCCTCTTATGTGAATGGGCAGTGCCAATCATTCATGGGGGTTTGTCTCTCCCCACGCTTTTTATTCTGATTGATTCTACTCCATTTTAATCTCAGGTGGGCTCTTCCCTTGTAGTGAAAATAGAACTACCAGAATCCCATATTTAATCCTACTAATTCAGTACCTTCAAGGAGAAAAAAAATGTTCTTTATAAATAATTTTGGCAAAAAAGACAATAGCCAAATTTCTTTTTCTGACTAATCACTGTCATCAGGGTTTGGCCTTTGTTAATTGCATAGGATTATGTCTTGTGAGGTGGGCAAATCAATCCATCTAAATTATATAAAATGTGTTCCCTGTATCAGACAAATTCCAGTCAAAAAAAATAGCATACTATGTACTTCCCATAGAGGATATTTTTCAAAAAGAATTGAATATACAGATATCGCAAGGAGGAAAGAGCAAAAGGATGCAGCAGAGAAAAAGTAAAGGCTAATAGCGACCACTCTCATGAACAGTGGGACAAACAGAAAGAAGAACATTAACCAGATTTTAGAATCTCAGAGGAGAAGCTCTACAGTATTGGTACTTGGATTAACGGAAGTTTTGGAGGTGCCACAGAGCTAGTACTTCAACCTCTGAAGTAGAGGCTTCACCCAGAGGAAGCAGGGTCCAACATGGAAGGAGACCAACAAGAAAGCCTGACAACTGCTTGAACTACTCAAAGGGCACAGACCAGGTAATGAAGTGAGGGAGGATGCTGTAGCTGATAAGGGAGTGCTGTCCACCTACGGACTATACATCTAAGAGGTGCAGCAAGTTAGACACATTTTCACGTGCTTGTTGGTATTTGCACGCCTTCCTTTGGAATTTGTCTTTCAAATTATTTGCCCATTTATGAGATGGTCTTTTTATCATTGAGATATAGTTTAATTATTAAGTTGTTATATATTCTAGATATAATACTTTTCTCAGATATATCTGTTGCAAATATTCTCCAAGTCTCTAGCTGGCCCATGAATATTTTTTGATAAATAGATGTTCTAATTTAAACGATGCTCATTTTATCTTTTTTCTTCTTTTAGGTTTACTGCTTTCTTTTAGGTTTAGAATATGTCTAAGAAATCTATGCCTATACTAACATATTTTTCTATGTTTTCTTCTAGAAGATTTATGTCAAAGCTTTGTGTGTATAGTTTTTATCCATTTAAAATTAATTTTTGTGTATGATGTGAGATAGAGATCAAAGTTCACTGTTTTCCTCATAAATAGTTAGTGTTTCCAGCATCAATTGCTTAAAACATTTTCTTTTACTTATGCATTTATTTAGTTGCTTGGCCAAAAATCAATTGACTTCATAAGTGAGACTCTGTTTCAGAATATTTTATTCTGTCCCATGGATTTATTTGTCTTGCTTTATAACAAAGCCAATTGGTCTTGATTATCAGAACCTAAAACTAGGTTTTAAAATCTCTTAGGGGGCTGGCCCGGTGGTGCAGCAAAGTGGGCACGTTCCACTTTGGCGGCCTGGGGTCCGTCGGCTCTGATCCCGGGTGCAGACATGGCACCATTTGGCAAGCTGTGCTGTGGTAGGTGTCCCACATATAATGTAGAGGAAGATAGGCACAGATGTTAGCTCAGGGCTAATCTTCCTCAAAAAAAAAAATCTCTTAGCATGAGTCCGCTGTGTCATTTAGAGCTCCTCAAGAAACAGATTCCAAGAAATGATTAGACTTGCAAGACATTTATTGTGGTAAATGCCTGTGAAGGGTAAAATGGGAGGGAGTGGGAGTCAGTGATAAATGCTTCAGACCAGAATGAAAATCTCACACCTAAGAAAGGAGACAGAGAAGGAAGAATCTAGGAAAATCTCAGATTACAGTGCAGTTTTAAAAAGTCTTAGTCAGGATGATAGGAAGTCCCTAAGGAAAGATTGCCTCTCAGAAGAGCCCTCCATCACACAGAAATTGGTCAGCACCTGTATGACAATTATGCTAAGCCATTGGCTGAGGACATCTCCCAGTAAGTATGGACTCTGCCTGAACACTTTGGTGGATCCAAAGGAGTATCAGTTATAGACTTTCAGTCAATGATGCTCCCCGCAACTGGTTTTCCTGAAGTGGAGTTAGCAGCACCTCTCTATGGCTGCCACATTACACTCTGAAAAAGAAATAATACCCCAAAGTTCTTTCTGATTTTTATTATTTATAATATTGTATTAATTACTTATAACATTACATTTATTATTGTTGTTATTAAGACAAGATAATTCAATTCAACAAGTATTTCTTGACCCCACCATTATATTTGATAATCTAAATATATAAACAGAAAAACCATTGGCGAAATAGGGAAATTATAGGAAAAAGCACCTAGTTAAATACATTTATTATCTTATTGGTGAGACAAAGTTTAAGTAATTTCACAAAATGTTCCTAGGAAAATAGTGTATCATTAGTATATACTTTTTTTTCATGATAAACCTCACTAAATAAGTAAAACAATGGTCAGCATGTTTCTCCTATCACTACATGTAGCATTTTCCATAAGTGATAAGTAACAGAATTTATAGTAAGAACTATATGATCTTTTTCCAAATGTTTGGTGTCATGTCATTTTAGACAGGAATGAATGCAAGTGTTATAATAAACCATCCATCCCTCTTATTGGAATCCTGAGACACATATGTATTATTCCCCAATCATCCTCTCTTAGTGCTGTGTTTGGCAATAAACGGTGGAGTTACATGTATTTTTTTGAATATTAAATGCATTGGGCTGACAGAAGCATTCAGAAGCAAGTGGCAGTTGGAACAGCTTTGGCCATTCTCAAAGAGAACAAGAAAAGTCAGAATAACAAAAGGAAAAATGGAAGGAAAAGTAGAACAAAAGGACAACCTAAGGGGAATCTGGTCCTACTTTGAGGTGTATACGCAATTTGCAATGAAGATATATTTTTGAATTAGGCTGCCTGTATGTACCGGTAACAACATTGTTAAAAATGAAAATTCTTCTGTGTGTTTGGCACTTCTGTGTCTAAATCAGCAAGCTCTAATTTTAACTTTGTGTACTTATGAAACTCACCATATTTATTCAGATTCAGAATAGCCCAGGAGACAAACGTAAAAATGAAGTGTCTGCCAAAATAAGCTTAATGCATAGTGTTTACTGCCAGAAAGTGGATTATATTTTATAGATTTTATAGGACCTGTTATATCTGTAAAACACTGACATCTAAAGGGGGTACATTCCTGGCCAATTGAGGATGTAAAGAAAGGAGTGGAAACAGAGCATCTGATCCTGATTCCAACAGCACAATATAAGTGGTGGATAGAAAATCCCCAATGGCACAATATCACCCTACTGTTACTTTACTTGATCATTTGCAGAACCGTTTACCTATCTGCAGGAGAGAAAAACAAACACCATAATGACAATGGAAAAAGCAGAGATAAATTTATTCTTTAGTGTTATTCTTAAACAGGTCAAATGGTTAAAAGGAGGAGGAATTGTGAAATGGTGAGGAAGGAAGATCTACTATTAAAAACTTGGAAACAAATTGACAGAAGACTCAAATTTTGTTTGCCATAGTAACAAAGATATAGGATAACAAGGCTTCCACTTAAATTCCTGTAATAAAACAACCAGAATCTACTGGTTCTAAAGTACATGTACAGAGATACTGTTGCTGATCAAAACTTTGTCCTACTCATGGTTTTTCTCAGAGCAATTTTAACATCTTTGTTCCTCAAACTGTAGATTAAAGGGTTCATTGTGGGAACCACAATGGTATAAAAGACAGAAGAGATTTTGCCCTCATCCATGGATCCAGCAGAAGATGGTTTGAGATACATAAATGCACCTGACCCAAAGAAGAGAGAAACCGTAATTATGTGGGAACTGCAGGTGCTGAAGGCTTTGGACCTGCCCTCCACAGAGCTGATGCGGAAGATGCTGGAGAGGATAAAACCATAAGAGACAAAGATGGTGAGACTAGGCACAATGATGTTGATGCCCACCACAATAAAATTTACTAGCTCATTGATGTAGGTGCTCGTGCAGGAGAGCTGGAGTAGAGGAAAGAGGTCACACAAATAATGGTTGATGGTGTTTGCATCACAGAAGGTCAGTCTCAGCATGCATCCAGTGTGGGCTGTGGCACCAGAAAATGCCATCAAGTATGAACTAAGCAAAAGGCTGGAACACACTTTAGGGGACATGGTAACATTATACAAAAGTGGTTTACAGATGGCCACGTAGCGATCATAGGCCATTGCTGTCAGCACATAGCATTCAGAAATGATAAAAAAACAGAAAAAGTAGAGCTGGGTCATGCATCCCATGTAGGAGATAACATTTTTTGATATGAAATTAATCAGCATTTTTGGTGTAATCACAGTAGAATAGCAGAGATCTATTACAGACAAATTAAAAAGAAAAAAGTACATAGGGGTGTGTAAGTGTGAATTTGGTCCAATTAGAGTTATCAAACCCATATTTCCCAACACAGTAACCATATACATTATTAGAAACAGGAAGAACAGGGGGAGTTGGAGATATGGTTGGTCTGTTAATCCCAACAAAATGAATTCAGTCACAAAAGAGCTATTTCCAAGAGCCATTCTTCTTCAAAGGGATCTGTGAGTACAGGAAAAAAAGGGTTACATTAGAGGGAAACCCTAGCCCTTCCCACAATATCTTGTCCTACAAAAGGGGTTATGTGCTGCGAATATCTGAGACTAGCCCAATCTGGACCCATCAAGTCTGCCTTTACCATTATCATGATACTGAATGACACTAACTTTCCCTTTCTTAGAGTCTTTATAAGCTAAATATAGCAAAGGGCATCATTAATTTTTCCTTCAGAGGGAAGACTACTGCTGTCATATGCAAATATGACTACTGAAAAAGAACAAGGGAGTAGGGAGAAGAAGGAAGTATCACAACAAAATAGTCCTACTCTCATGTAAACATTTCTTAATTCTCTTGAACCCTCTCCTCACCAGTAAAAGTGGAGGCCCTCAACCCAACAACCTGATGCTGGCATCTAATGCAGATTATACTTCGTGGGTTGGAAACCAAAAAGATTGTCTCTAATCCTAGACTAAAGGACCAGAGTCTAGGAGAGATTAAGTTACTGCCCCCTTATCACAAAGTAAAAGCTATAAATGTGGAAGAGTGAGAGTTCCATCCTTGGAAAGGGAACTTAGTGACTCAGAAACTGTACCCTCTGAGCCCGTTAATATCTCTGAACATTCTCTACTCTTCCCTGGAACAGATTCTTCCTCCAGTTTCACTTGAGTCTCAGAATTGCACAAAGTGGGAAAGAAAGTGGCAGATCTTAGATCTCTGGAATTCCATTTCACAGCATAAGGGAAATTCATATAAATAGAATTTAGAAACTCACCATCCTTAGGCCAGAAAATTTTACTGCTTCCTTGTCAGTGTTATTTACTCCTCTGGTCTTAGAAGGGCAATTTAAGATTCGAAGGCTTTGGTTACTTTGATTCTAAGAGGATGCTGCAAAAGATTTAATTTCATACATGCCCTGTAAATCTTTATGAACTACACAGCATACTTTCTGAATGTGACTTTGAGAACTCTCAAGCTGCAGAGAAAACTAAAGACACGTTTTGTCACTTGAAAAGATGCAGATGGATGAATGTGAATTTAATGATATAATGCAGTTGGCTATAAACAGGGTGGAAGTTTGCTCAGTCTCTTCCCCAGGGAATAGATTCTACATGTGAAAGGGAAATAAGAAGGTTGTATTTACACCTTGGACCATTGATCTTTCTTTAGTTCCTTAGGGACTCAATATTTTACTTAAGTTTTCCTGTAACTCGAGGGATTATACATCTCCCAAGACAGATCTAAAAATAAATTCATGTCTTCCCATCACATTCATCTCTAAAGAAAAATCTATTGAATTGTTTCTTTTCCTCTCTCTTCTCATCCTAAATGGAAAATTTTCTGCAAGGGTTCTACCTGCAGGATTCTTTATTTCTTCATCTGAAACTTTTCAAGAATTGCAGTATCTCACTTCAATTGTTCTCTCTCAAGGGCTATCTCTGAAATAATTTGAAATGTCTTCCATCTCTTCTAAAGTTGAACCTTTTAATATCTTCCAGAAATTTATACCTGACTATTCTGCTGGGACCTTATATGCAACATTTCAGTAACTGAGATCTTTATTTCTTCTCATTGTAAAAAGGAATAGGGGCTATGAGTTAGACGGTGTGTGTACGAATCTTCCTTCCACTCTTGCTAACTATAATACCTTGATAAAATTACTTTATCTTTCTTCCTCTGGTTCACTTTTGTAAAATAGAAATGGTAAAAATAGCTTTTGTTTCATTGAGTTTCTATGATAGCCGAATGAAAAAATGTAAATAAGAAATGTAATGTAAAATAAAATGAAAAAATGTAGAAGGTGCTAAATAGTCTGGCCTGGCACGTGCTAAATAGTCAATTTATGTCAGTTGTCATTATTTATATTGTCATAAATTCTGGCAGATGCTCAATCAGAACACTCATCAGACCATTCTCCCCTTAATTTCTGTGTTCCCTAATAACCTATAAGTTATATAAGAACAAACATCTTTTCTGTCTTGTTTCCTTGAAAGTACGGTACAGAATATATAGTCGAACGCCAATATCTCTGAAAATTATATTGTTCTTTGGTTGAAAACCTTCAGATTTTTTTCCACATTTCTCACATGCTAAAAGGTAGAGTCCACAACCACATGCCCCCCACCCATTTTCCTCAGAAACCAAACGAGTCCAAGAACTTTGTAGGTTTAGACTTTACTACTGAATATAGTGACTCCTATTTCTCTAGCATTTCCACATAGTCCTCTTATTTAGCCATCTGCACTGCTGCTAGAATAAGCTCTGAAAGCACGGATGTGTCATTCACTAGTTTGAATCTTTCAATGGTTCTCCATTACCCACTGGGCAATTGAAATTTTGTAATGAAAATACAATTATCAAAACTGTAATTCAGCTTCAGTAAAAACTAAAGAAGAAATTGAGTCCAACTTTTTTTCACATCTTTATAATGTATAATGTACAAATAACAATTACATGTATTTAAGGTACATGACCTGACTTTTTAATATTCATAAACATTCTGAAAAAATTGGCATAATCAAGCTAATTAAAATATCCGTCACCTTACAGAGTTACCATTTACTTTTTGGTTATTCGTAGTGAGAACATTTAAGATTTACCCTCTTAGCAAATTTCAAGTATGCAGTACAGTATTGTTCATATAGTCACAGTGGTGTACATTAGAGCTCCAGAACTTATTCATCTTGAATAAAAGAAATTTTGTACCACTTGACCAACCTTTTCCCCTCCGCTCAGACTCTGGCTACCACCATTCTACTCTCTGCTTCCATGGTTTTGACTACTTTAGATTCCTCATATATCTTAGGTCATACAGCACTTGTCTTCATGTAACTAGTTTATTTCACTTAGCATAATGTCTTCTATGTTGTTGCAGTTGGCAGGATGTCCTTTATTTTTAAGGCTGAATAATATTCCATTTTGTATATATACCACATTTTCTTTCCTATTCACCCATTAACCAATATTTAGTTTGTTTCCATATTTTGGCTATTGTGAATAATGCTTCAATGAATATAGACATGCAAAATCTCTTTGAGAAACAGATTTTATTTCCTTTGGATATATACCCAGAAGTAGGATTGCTGGATGATAAGGTAATTCTATTTTTGATTTTTTGAGGACTCTCTATACTTTTTTCTATAATGGCTGTACCAATTTTACATTCCCACTAACGAGAGTTTCCTTTTCTCTTCATTCTACCAACACTTATTATCATTTGTCTTTCTGATAATAGTCATTCTAACAGGTGTGAGGTGATATCTCATTGTGATTTTCATCAGCATTTCCCTGATGATTAGTGATGCTGAGTACCTTTTCATATACCTGTTTGGCCACTTGTATGTTTTCTTTGGAGGAATGTCTATTCAGTTCCTTTGCTTATTTTTTATGAGTTATTAGTTTGCTGTTATGGTGGTGGTTGTTGACTTTGGTATTGAATTTTAGGAATTCCTTTTATATTTTGGTTATAACCTCTTACCATATATATGGTTTGTAAATGTTTTATCCCATTCCTTATGTTGCTTTTTCATTTTGCTGAACATTTCCTTTGTTGTGCAGAAGCTTCATATTTTGATGCAATCCCACTTGTCTGTTTTTGCTTCTACTACCTTTACTTTTGATGTCATATTCAAGAAAATCACTGTCCAGAACAAAGTCAAGAAGTATTTTGTGTGTGTGTGAGAGGAAGATTGGCCCTGAGTTAACGTTTGTTGCTAATCTTCCCATTTTGGCTTGAGGAAGATTGTCGCTGAGCTAACATCTCTGCCAGTCTTCCTCTGTTTAATGTGGGATGCCGCCACATCATAGCTTGACAAGTGATTCTAGGTCTGCACCTGGGATCAGAGCCCACAAACCCGGGGCAGCAGAAGCACAGCACGAACTTAACCGCTACACCACTGGGCCAGCCCAAGAAGAATTTTTTTTTAAGATTTTATTCTTAGAGCAGTTTTAGGTTTACAGAAAAATGGAGAGGAAGGTATAGACATACCCATTTACCCAAAGCCACCACACACGCTTAGCCTCCCCTACTAATGATGTGGGAAATTTTCTCTGTGTTTTCTTCTAATTATTTTAGAGTTTTAGGTCTTATGTTTACATTTTAATCCATTTTGAGTTGAATTTTGTGTGTGGTATGATAAGAGATCCTATTTCATTCTTCTGCGTGTGAACATCGAGTTTTTCCAACACCATTTATGGAAGAGATTATCCTTTCCCCATTATGTGTTTTGTCTCTAGTATTGTTCAAGTCAGCAGTTCTTCACTGATTTTCTGTCTAGATTTTCTCTCCATTTTTGAAAGTGAGATATTGAACTCCTTTACTATTATTATACTGCTGTCAATTTCTCCCTTCAGTTCTGTTGATAGGGCTTTTTATACGTATGTGCTCTGATGTTGGATGTGCATATATTTATAATTGTTATATCTTTATATTGAATTAACCTCTTTACACAAGGACCTTTTTGTCTCTTTTTGACTTAAAGTGTATTTTTTCTGATGTAAGTATAGCCACCTCTTCTTTCCTTTGGTTATTATTTGCATAGAATATCTTTTTCTATCCCATGATGTTCAGCTTATGTGCATCCTTAACTCTAAAGTGAGTCTCTATGGAGACACAGAGGCATGGACTTGAGAAGCTCCATCAGCTTGCGTCAGCATTGGTAAAGACTAGGGACTCCTCAATGATGAAGGCTGCTGGGGTCCTCCTACTCTCCTTTTCCCAATGAGGGAAGTCACAGCTGAGGGGATTCCTATTGGTGCCAGTTCTGCAGTGAGTGCATATGCAGTTGCAGCACCAAAACCTAGGAACTGGGGCACATGCAGTAATGGCATGCCAGTTTCTGCAGCAAATACGATGGTGCTGGGGTGGGGAGGTCAGCAGCTCAGGCCTTGGAAGTGCACAGATGTGGCTCTGGTTCCAGTGGGCCACAGTAGCAAGGACTCCCAGCAGCCCCATCACCTTGTCAGTGTCGGTGAATGCCAAGTGGGTTCT